CTCAGATCCACCAATAGCAGCAACTTCACAGACTTTTGAAATTTTAAATGTCTTTTCTTTTGGGTCCACACTGCTCAGTCTTGCCTACCTTTACCCAGTGATTCCCACCAGAAGGACATGCTGATATTATTTTCTGTTTTAAAACTCTGGGTGAAAAAAAAATCCTAGGCAAGTGAAATGAGTTACAGTTTAGTCATAGCACGTGAGGCAGGGGTCAGCTGCAAAATTTTATCTCTAGAACCATCTGCTAGTACTGGCTCGGTCCTCGTTAGCTTTTTCATTTCCCTGAGATCAGGACAGGCATGTTTCAGATCTTTTACACATGAAAGAACTCAATTTACCTATTCTATGTAGCCTAAAAACAACACAGCTAGTGTATATGTTGTCACACTTCAACGTGATTTGAAATTGTCTGTTCAGCAAATATGCTCTATTTGGGTGCCACCACCCACCTCAGTGACCACTGCCCCSTTGAGTTACTTTTCTAAAGCACCATCCTTCTGTGTCACAGGTATTTGTGATACAAAGTGTGTGTCGGCGTGCCTGAATAACTTTGATGAAGGGATTTGCTATTGTGGTGGCATGTCTGGTGAGGTTCTAGGTATGTAAGATGGTATTTGAGTGTCACCTGACCAGTACCTTCAGACTGCCCAAACAGTGGCTGAATTAGTTTAACTGATCTATTAATAAGCCATATGAASAGTGGCTGAGGAAGCTGGGGCTGTTTAATCTGGGGAAGAGAAGGCTCTTCCCCAGAGACCTAAGGGGAGACCTTATCTCTCTCTACAGCCACCTGACAGGAACTTGTGGCCATGTGGGGGCCAGCCTCTTCTCCCAGGCAACTGTAGGACAGAGAACATAGCCTCAAGCTGCACCAGGGAAGGTTAAGGCTGAACATCAGGAGGAGTTTTTTCCGCTGGAAGAGTTGTCAGGCACTGGAATTRGTGGAGTCACCATCCCTGGAAGTGTTCCAGAAAAGAGTGAATGTGGCACTTAGTTTCCTGGCTGAGTTGAAAAGCCATGTGTTGGTATTTGGTGTTTGGTCAAGAKCTGGMCTCAATGATATTAGAGGTCTTTTCCAACATTAATCATTCTGTGATTCAATGATTTTAAACTRTAGCCTGGATTAATTAATCAGGGCTGTCTGTAACACCTTTCCTGACTCAGTTAAGTATGTTATTCCTTTCCAGGAGAAAACAGGAAACAAATGAGGAGTTTGTTTAGGTTCTATTTAACAAGGCCATAATGCCATCTCTTGAGTGCCTTGATACTGTCTCTGTTATATTTTACTGTTCCTTTCCATACAGCAAGCCACAGAATGGTTGTTCACAGCTCATGGTTTTGGTGGCCTGGAGCCAAACTATGCCTCTCTCTGGCAATTTTGCCCAAGAGGAAAGTTACTGTGCAAGGTTATATAAACCAGTGCAGTCTATTACAACCCCGTCACTGTTTTAGTGAGTTACTGTGAACATTTCCACCCTCACCATTGCTGCATATTGGGGAAAACACAAACATGGTTCACAAATGTGTCCAGCATGAATTCAGCCTGCTTAAGGAATTTGCTTTGCTGCTCTGATCTGACGCAAAAAGGTGAGTCAGGTGAGTCTTTGACCAAAAGGCAATGATTAACTGTGTCAAAGGCAGAGGGTGTGCCAAGAGATGTTTGTGTTCAGCTACAGTACAAGCTGCAGAAAGCACAGCCCTGGAAGGCTCCCCAGCACTGGAACGTGTCCAGGAACAACTGTTCCCAGCATTAGTTTGGCCAGGATTTACAAGCAATGTCCTGAACAGTTCCTGGACATAGTCCAGAGGTTAGCTCGGGCCAGGGCTAATTTCTAAAGGTAGTTTGCATGTATCCACCTTACTAAGAGGTTTAAAAAAGTGTATCTAAACTCTTCCATGGCAATTGGCCTCTCTGAAAGAAACTAGTTCTGGAAATGTTTAGTCTAATAATCAAATGACTAGTATCACTATGAAACTAGCCTGATAATCAAATAGCAATGTTCAAATGTCTAGTGWAAAAATCTGAGCCAATCTCATTTTTTTGGTTGTCCACGTGTATTTGAAGAGCTCCAAAGAATCTTCTTGTGTGAACTGATCCATTTTTGACAGTAGAACAATGAAGTTTAGGAATCAGAAGTTTTTTATTACATTCAGGTCAATAAATTAATTATTAATCTTTTTAATATGAGACAAAAATACCAATTATTTTCCCTAAAGATTAAAATGCAAATAAAACTTCTTTAATGAAATGTTTCAATCATATTTACAAAATAGAAGATATCTAATAAGTTAAAGTTAGCCAGAACTAAAAGCAAATACCATGGTATTAAAAAAGATTACATGTGAGGTATCATTCTTTTTTGGTTACATCACTGTTTTCTAAAAGTGTTGAAAAAGAAGGAAGTGAAGAAAGCCTATTTATTATTCAGGACTTTTCACAGGAATATACAGTAGTCTAAGAATTGCACTTGCAGACTCCTCCATTTTTCTTGGTTATCTTGTGATGTCAGCAACTAATATTATCTCTTCATTTTCAGATGTTATTGACTGAGTTTTGCTCTCCATTAYCTGAAAGAAAAATACAAACTTTCATCAGTTTTATGCATGGTGTTAGGGAAGCCTCTACTTATGCACAATTCTGAGAGTGTTTCACCTTTTTGCTCAGTGTGACCACCACAGTCTGTCCTCTTTCCTTACAAAACCCTATTTTGAACTGTTTTCTGTGTCACGTTGCTTTCTGTCCTACATGTGTAACTTGCTGGTGGGTAAGCTGAAGAGGTGTGCACCTGAAGGGACTCGAGGTCCTTGTAATAAGTTCCTTATCATTTAAAAATTCATCCAGTAGAGTTTTGTGTGTATTTCACATATTTAATATAGAAATAGAAAGAGAACATACCTCTGGGTTTGCATCAGACAGTGTAAAAAAAGCGTTTTTTGGTCCTGGGATTTGTGGAAATGCTGCTTTCCAACAGCCAGTCCTGGAAATCAAAATGTATTGAATAAAAAATTAAAGTTGAATAACCTTATTGTGACACAACCACTGCACCCTTGAACCAGCGCTTATTTTCCTCTTCAGTCTTAAAAGTGAATTGAAAAATATACATCATCTCAACACAGAATGAATACATATCAGGAAAACTATTAATTTGGATGGTATTAGATTCATTTTTGATTAAAGATTTACTAGTAGTGAATTTCCTTCTTTGAAAGAAAAAAGAATTTGTCCGGCTTTTTCACTACAAATAATGAAAAGTGAGGGTAAAGATTTTAATAAGTTGACAGAGAAGTATCTTCTCTGAATTACTGTGTATTTCTATGAAAGCTACATCATGTAGTAGAATATCCTTTTTCTTTCCATTTTTGTTTCACTTATGCAGTTTATTTTATCAATCCTACAGAGACATCTCTTTCTGGTATTTAAGAACTTCAGATGTTACACATACCCATACAAATTAAAAAAARAAAAAWGCATAAATYAAGTTTACCTTTTGCAGAACAAAATTGTGACAATTGACATTGAGAGTGTCACAATTGCTACCACAAGTAAAATCCATACTGAAGAAGATATAATTTCTTCATTTCCTGAAAGAGAAACATTTATTTATTAATTATTATTGTTGTTATTTATTATTATCATTATCATTATCATTATCATTATCATTATCATTATCATTGTTATTATTATTTAGAAGTACAGAATCATAGAACAGTTTGGGTTAGAAGTGACCTTTAAAGATCATCTAATTCCAGCCACTCTGCCATGGACAGGGATGCTTTCCATTAGACCAGGCTGCTCAGAGCCCCAACCTGGCTTTGAGCTCTGCCAGGGATGGGGCATYCACAACCTCTCTGGGCAGCATGTGCCAGTGCCTCAACACCCTCATAGTGAAGAATTTCTTCCTAAAATCGAATTTAAATCTACACTCTTTCAGTTAGAAGCCATTCCCCCTTGAACTATCACTACATGCCCTTGCACAAAGTCCTTCTCCATTTCTCTTGTAGCCCCTTTATGTACTGAAGGACTGCAACAAGATGTCTTTGGAGCCTTCTCTTTTCCAGGTTGAACAACCCGAACTCTCTCAGATTATGAGACTCTCTCAGATTCTCTCACCCTGCTGGCCACTCTGTTTTTCATGCAGCCCAGGGCATGTTTGGCTTTCTGGGCTGCAAATGCACATTGCTGGGTCATTCCCAGCCCCTCCTCCACCAGCATCTCCAAGTCCTTCTCAGCAGAACTGCTGTCAATTCCTTCATCCCCCTGTATTGATACCAGGGGTTGTCCTGACCCAGCTGCACCTTGAACATGGTCTTGTTGAACTTCATACTGTGTCAAACACCTCCTGCGATGACTGTGGTGAATGTCAGTCTGAAAGGTTTTGCTTGGTGTAAAAATGAATTCTGTAATTTATCACCTTAGCAGAAACATCCAATGAGAAGAATTATTGTTCCTATTTGTCCACCCCTTGCAGTAAGCAGGACAGCATTTCAGCTGCAAATGCGTAACTTTTTAATGTTATTTCCAGTCTTAGAATACTAAGAAATCTATTAAGTCTCTTCCTACTTTTCTCTGTAGGGTGGTGTGAAGCAAAAGATTTGCCAACCTTTTGTACATCTGTGTGTGCATAGGTGTGCGGCAATTTGTGAGGTAGACAGGACATCACTGKGGGAAGAGCAGCCCAGGGCATGGATTTGTTCTTACCAAACTCAACAGGTGCACTCCACTGCCCCCAGGATGGGTTCACCAGGCAGGCACTGCCAGMTGCTCTCATTTTCAAGAGATGTTTCTTTCTTGTATTGGATCTTGGAAATGTGTGGYTATTTCCCCCTTCCTAAACAAAACAGAAAATCGAGATGCTTTTCTTTGTTCCATGCCTAGGTATCAACAATATGTGTCATTTACCAGTGAAACTTTTAAGAGACTATGAAAGCATTGCCTTTTAAATAAGACTCTTCTAGAGCAAAAAAAGAAAATACAATTTTCACAGTTGACAATGTAATAAACATGCATTGCTGATTAATAGAACAAACAGACTCACTTGTATAGAAGTATAGATGGGTTTTCCTTTAGGACTATCCTGTAAATTGAGAGGGGAAAAAAAAAAGCAGGTAACTTCATTTTTATCATCGGATGTTTTATGTTTCAATAATAATTAGTTTTTATCTACTGTCCCATTTTYCTGCATTATTTCTTATCTACTTCATGGTTTGTTCAGAAGAACTAATGATTTCTCTAACATTTAATACCTAATACCTAATTCATCTATGATGCCAAGTTTATATAGTAATTAATTCTGCTAGGGAAAGATATTTATTTTTCTTGTCATTGCAGTTGAGATATAAACTTTATTTCAGATGAGTAATAAACTGAAACCCAAACCAGACCTGAATGAAAACTATAAATTTATTCTTACACACACCAGGAAAAAAAGAAAGTAAAAAATCTGTGAAATAAACCTTTTAATTTGCATCTAATGTTTTAATTTTACAATAAATGTCACTGTACATAATTGCAAATATTGTGTAAATATTGTTGATTTTTCTTTTAGATGAAAATATTTGGGAATGGCATAGATTCACAGACTTTTTAGACTGCCTTCCACAATATTTTTGGTAGAATAAAATTAGCTCATCTTTTCTGAATAGCCCTAGTAAGTACCATGTACTGTAGTGACCACACACAACTATTGACTGCAGACTATATCGTCTCCCTTATACTGGTTATGTATTTTTCTAATTATTTTGCAATACACCATTTAAAAACAAAATTCAATTAATCCAGACTTATTTTATCAAATAAATGCATGCTCATGTGGCCTTTGAACATGAAGCTGTTCAGCCTGGAGAAGAAAAGGCTCTGGGGARAGCTTAMAGCACCTTCCAGTACCTAAAGRGTCMWRCAGGGAGGCTGGAGAGGAACTTTTTACRAGGGTGAGTATTAATAGCATGTGGGGATTGGCCTTAAACTGAAGGAGGGGAGGTTTAGATCAGACATTAGGAAGAAATTCTTTACTGCTCTGGGCAAGGCACTGGCACAGCCTGCAGAGAAGCTGTGGATGCCCCATCCCTGGGAATGGTCAAGGCCAGGATGGGGTTCTGAGTGACTCAGTCTAGTGAAAGGTGTCCCTGCCACAGCAGGGGGATTGAATTGGATGGTCTTTGAGATGGCTTCCAATCAAACCGTTATAAGATTCTATAAATCAAGCTGCTYTCCAGGACACCTTCTGGTATCTGCAATCAAGCTGAATGACACATAGGGATTAATCTATGAGAGATATCTGGCCAATTAACATATTGTTCATCTTTATAGGGCCGAGGGTAACCTGGAATTTTTCAAGGGTGATTAYAGAGCACTGGGGGGATGGTGAAGGACAGGAAGTCCAAATGGTGTCTCCTCAGGCCTTCCAGTGAGTGGGAAAGGCTTGAGCAGAATTGCAGTCATCCAGCAGGTCAATAACTGTCTGAATAACTGCTGTCACAGGCAGGGCTTTGTCTTTTAYGGCCTTGGGATCCTTTTTGAGAAATGGGAGCTAATGTGCAAGCATGGGATGCATCTCACCAAAGAGGTCATTGTGCCCTTGCAAACAGGCCTGGTCATCCTACTGTGGATAAAGGAGTGCCTTGAGAGCTCTGTCTTGGGATAAATAACAAACCAGCAAGAGAACTTGTGTGTAGACATCAGAGGACAGCAGAGGTGTTAATGTAGTAGGTGCTTGTTCCAGATCTCACAATCTAGAAAAGGAAGCAGATGAGACCCTCCACAGGAAACCTCAAAGTCACAGGCCCTGGTAATAAAGGGAAAGTGCCCTGGAGGGCCAAGCAACTGGTTGATCTACAAGGA